CCTGCCTCCGCCTCCCAAGTAGCTGGGACCACAGGCGCCCGCCACAACACCCAGCTATTTTTTGGTTGCAGCCGTCATTGTTGTTTGGCGGTCTGGGCTGGGGATTCGAACCCGCCACCTTAGGTGTACGTGGCTGGCGCCTTAACCGGTTGAGCTATAGGCGCCAAGCCAACTTTTTTAAAAAAATTATTTTTCCTTGCTAACTTTTTACCAATAGCTTTATAAGGATATAATTCACCTGCTGCATAATCACCCACTTGAAGCCTACAGTTCAATGGTTTATATTCACAGTGTAACCATCAGCCCAATAACGTGTACCCATTACAAAATCTTTCTCCATTCCCTACCTTACCTGGCCCCACCCTCCAACCCTAAGTGACCACTAATCTACTTTATGTCTCTGTGGGTTTGCCTATTCTGGACATTTCATATAAAGGGGTATCCCCTTTAAAGTTTTTCACACCTCCTTCTTTAATGCAAAATTGTATTTTCAGGTTTCATGTCTCTGTACTTTGTTTCTTTCTATGGCTGAATAATATTGCATTGTATGGGGAGACTGCATTGTATTTCTTCATTCATCAATTGAGGGACATTTAGGTTTCCATTTCTTGGCTGTTTTGAATAATGCTGCTGTGAACATTCTCTTTTTTTGAACATGGTTGTATATTTCTGTGGTTGTATATTTTCTTTTCTCTTGCACATAAACCTAAAAGTGGAATTGTGGGTTATGTAAGGTAATCCTATGTTTGACATTTAGAGAAACTGCTGAACTGTTTTGCAGAATGTTCACACCATTTAATTAAATTCAATTAATTGGTAATTAATTAATTTATTTTCAATGTTATATATGAGTGCATGATTGTTTAAAGAAAAATACATTTATATTTGTTATATATCCTATATACACCAGGCTTTTTTTTTTTTAATTTTAATATGAGGGTACAAAGTTTTTGTGTTTTTTTTTTAGAGATAGAGTCTCTCTTTGTCACCCTTGGTAGAGTGCTGTGGCATCACAGCTCACAGCAACCTCCAGCTCTTGGGCTTAGGCGATTCTCTTGCTTCAGCCTCCTGAGTAGCTGGGACTACAGGCACCCACCACAATGCCTGCACCCAGCTACTTTTTGGTTGCAGTTTGGCCGGGGCAGGGTTTGAACCTGCCACCCTCAGCATATGGGGCCATCACCCTACTCACTGAGCCACAAGTGCTGCCCTGAGGGTACAAAGTTTTAGATTACATTGTCCTCACTTTCAAGGTAAAGTTCAAGTTACAGTTGAGCCCTTCCCCCAGGGGACATGCTAAACACCCTCACATTGTGCACATTAGGTGAGATCCCACCCATGTCCCTCCCTCCTCCCTCCAATTACCTTCCCCTTCCCATCCTTCCTCTTCCCTCCCCCTCTCTAGACTATATTTGTGTTTTATCCTTTGTATGGATATGCGGTTTTTATTATATTGGTTTCATATTAGTATTGAGTACATCAATTTTTCTCCCCATTCTTGGAATGTATTACTAAGAAGAACATGTTTCAACTCCATCCAAGCAAACACAAAAGATGTAAAGTCTTCAACTTTTCTTATGGCTGAATAGTGCTCCATGGTATACACAGGCCACAGTTTGTTGATCCATTCAAGGGATGATGGGGATTTAGTTTGCTTGGCAGATAAAGATAAGGGGCAGCCAGATTATTGAATAAATGATAGGGGTTAATTGGGTAGCCATTTAGGAAAAAATTAAGTTGGAACTATGTCTTACATTGAAATTAATTTAGGTGTATCCGAGATTTAAATGTAAGTAATAAGACTATTAAAATCAGTAATATAACAACAGAATTTTTCCGGCATAGCAAAAACCATCAAAAGATAAATAACTGGAAAATGTTGTATCTAATATCAATCACAAGGCGCTGCCTTGTGAATACCTTTTACCTTGAATACCTTTTACAAATCAATAAGAAAAAACTAATAACTAAGAGGAAAAAATGGACAAAAGTTTTGAACAGTTTATAGAAAAGCTAAGCAGTCTGAAACATATGAAAAATGTTCTACCTCCCTCGTAACATGAGGAATATAAAATAAAGTTATAGTGGGATATTATTTTTCCTCTCTTAGATTGACCTTAACAAAAGTCAGAAAGTTAATAAGACTGTAGAGAAGGAATGGAGGGAAACTGGCAGTCCCAAATGTTGCTGTTGGCAGTGGCTCATGCCTGTCATCCTAGCACACTGGGAGGCCGAAGGGAGAGGATTGCTTATACTCAGGAGTTTGAGACCAGCCTGAGCAACAGTGAGACCCCCCTCTCTACTAAAAAGAGAAAAACTAGCCAGGCATCAGGGTGGGCTCTTGAAGTCCCAGCTAGCAGGGAGGCTGAGGCAAGAGGATCACCTGAGCCAAAGAAATTGAGGTTGTTGTGAGCTATGGTGACACGTGGTACTCCATCCAGGACAACAGAGTGAGACGGTCTCAAAACAAACAAACAAAAAACCCTGCAAAACAAATATTGCTGCAGAATTATAGTTGACTTGGTCATCACAGAGGGGACCTTAGTGCTATTTAACAATCATTAACATGCACAAATGCTTACAGGAGGGCTTCTTGACCTAGGCGTTCCTGACATTTGGGACTGGATAATTCTCATGGTGGGCTGTCTTGTGCACTATAGTGTGCTGAGTAGTATCCCTGGCCTCTACCTACTAGATGCTTGCAGCATCCCTCTAATTGTCACCAACAAAAATGTCTCCAAATATTGCCATGTGTCCCCTAGGAACAAAATTGCCTCTGGTTGAAAAACTGGCTGAAAACCACTGCCTGAGAAAAAGTAATTTCACTTTTAATAGCTTATCCTACTATTAATAGATACTTACATACTTGCAACATGATGTATACCCAGATCATTAATTGCAACACTGTTTTTTGTCATAATAAGATATTCAAAAGCTAAGTGGCTATTTTGAGAGAGTTATTGAATCATGGTACATCCATGTGGAGAATTATAAAGCTGTCAAAAAGAACAAGTAAATTCTTTATGAGCTGATATGGAAGAAACTTTAGGATTTATTGGGTGAAAAAAAAGCTGGATGGATAAAAATGAATATGTTACTATTTGGGTCAAAAAATGGAAACACATTTGTATAAGCATAGATTTCTAGAAAGATACACAAAACCTAAAAATAAGGAAGGAGACCTTTGTGATAGGGGAACAAGGGTGGTGGGGGAACTGTGAACAGTGAGCTTTTGTATCACTGGAATTGAATGTATTGGCTATACAAAAGAATTGGTAAAAATAAAAATTAAAAGGACAGTGCTAATTTTTAAAAACTGTGTCCTACAAAAAGCATTAGTTAATTTTACTATATAATAATTTTTTTTTGAGACAGAGTCTCACTATATTACCCTCAGTAGAGTGCTATAGCATGACAGCTCACAGCAACCTCAAACTCTTGGGCTTAAGCAATTCTCTTGCCTAAGCCTCCCAAGTAGCTGGGACTACAGGCACCTGCCACAACACCTGGCTATTTTTTTGTTGTATTTGTCACTGTTGTTTGGCAGGCCCGGGCTGGATTCAAACCCACCAGCTCTGGTGTATGTGGCTGGTGCCCCAGCTGCTGAGTTACAGGTGCTGAGCCTACTATATAATAATTTTTTAAATATAAATTTCAAAGACAAGCACGTCTCAAAAAATGGACTTACTATACACTCGAGCAATTCTGCATCTGGGTATATATCCAAAATAATTGAAAGCAAGGACTTGAGCAGGTTTTTGTGTACCCATGTTTATAGCGGCCTTGTTCACGATAGCCAAGAGGTGGAAGCAGCCTGAGTGTCCATCACTGGAGAAATGGATAAACAAAATGTGTTTTATCCATGCAGTGGAATATTATACAGCCTTCAAAAAGGAAGGACATTCTGACACATGGTTACCACATGGATGAATCTAGAGGTCATTATGCTAAGTGAAATAAGCCAATCACGAGGGGACAAATATTGTATGATTCCATTTAGGTAACCAGAGAAGTCAAATTAGAGAGACAGAAGGTAGAATAGTGATTGCCAGGGGTTGGGATGATGGGGAGTTATTGTTTAATGGGTACAGAGTTTCAGTTTTACAAGATGAAAAGAGTTCTGGAAATGGAATGTGGTGATGATTGCACAACAATGTGAATGTACTTAACGCCACTGAATTGTATACCTAAAAATGGTTAAGATGGTAAAGTCTTATGTTATGTGTGTTTTGTGATTAAAAAGACAGGAATTGAGACTGATCAAATCAAATCAAAGTATAGTAAATATATAATTTTTCATATAAAACCTCCCTAAAGAATCAAAATAAGTAAAAAAAAAATTTTTTTTGAGACACAGTCTCAAGCTGTCACCCTGGATAGAGTGCTGTGGCATCATAGCTCACAGCAACCTCCAACTCTTAGGCTCAAGTGATCCTCTTGCCTCAGTTTTCCTATTTTTAGTAGAGACAGGGTCTTGCTTTTTTGCTCAGGCTGGTCTCAAACTTGTAAGCTCAAGCAATCCACCTGCCTCGGCCTCCCAGAGTGCTAGGATTACAGGCGTGAGTCATTACACCCAACCTAAAAGGTATTTCTTGATAAAGAAGACACAGAAGGAGGGCCAGGCATGATGGCTCACACCTGTAACCCTAACAATTTGGGAGGCTGGGAGGAGAGGATCGCTTGAAGCCAGGGGTTCTACAGCAGCCTAAGCAACATGCCAAGAACCTATGTTTACAAAAAATAGAAAAATTAGCTAGGTATGATGGTGTGTGCCTGTAGTCCCATCTACTCAGTAGCTGAGGCAGGATGATCACTCAAGCCCAGGATTTTGAAGCTGCTGTGAGCTATGATGATGACACTGCACTCTACCCCTGGTGACAGAGAAAGATTCTATCTCAAAACAAAAACAGAAGGAAGGAGGGACAGAATAGGAAGGAGAGGGGTAAGGGGAAAGGAGAGAGAGGGTAGAGAGGAGAGAAAGAAAGCTAAAGACTTTTTTTCTTTTTCTTTTTCTTTTTCTTTTTTTTTTTTTTTGTGATAGGGTATTACTCTGTTGCCCTGGCTAAAGTAGTATCATCATAGCTTACTGCAACCTCAAACTCCTAAGCTCAAGGGCTCTTCCTGCCTCAACCTCCCAAGTAGCTAGGACTATGTACAGGTCGGCACCACTACGTTCAGATTGTTTTTCTACTTTTTGTAGAGACAGAGTCTTGCTATTTTGCTCAGGCTGATCTTGAACTCCTAGCCTCAAGCAATCCTCCTATCTTGGCCTCAGAGTGCTGGGATTACAGGCACGAGCCACCATATCCAGCAAAAGACTGTTGTAGATTGCATTTTGTGTTTCTGAACTAGATTTAAACGTCACAATCTGTAAAAAACAACAACAAAAAATCAGAATCTTGTGGTTTCCCTTACACCCCTTTGAAAATGCAAACATCATTTTTATTTATTTATTTATTTATTTGAGACAGAGTCTCGAGCTGTCGCTCTTAATGCCGTGGCATCATAGCTCATAGCAACCTTCAACTCAGGCTCAAGTGATCCTCTTGCCTCAGTTCTTTTCTATTTTTAGTATAGACAGGGGTCTCGTTTTTGCTCAAGCTGGGCTTGAATTTGTAAGCTCAAGCAATCCACCCGCCTCAGCCTCCCAGATTGCTAGGATTACAGGCATGAGCCACCGCACCCAGCCCCCAAACATTTTTAGAAGTATACTGAAACTGTGGGGAGAGATGGCAGGGCCAGTGAGTCCTCCCAGCAGGAGCTGCCCGGGGTTCCCTGCACGTAATTGCTCCTTCCCACCCCAGGACCGGGCCAAAGCAGAGGCTGTGAACAAGAAGTTTCGCAAGCAGCTGGCTGAGTTCCGAGCGCCGCACGTGATGCAGTACCTCAAGGAGAAGCTCTTAAACGGGGACCTGGAGAAGAGCATCAAGATGTGGGAAAGGAAGGTGGAGATTGCAGAGGTGAGTCGCAGAGAATGCCATGGCGGGAAGCCCTCAGTGTGTTTGTTTAGGATTTTGTTTTGGGGGGCTAAGAATACAGATATCTGGACAGGTTATGTCTATGAGATGACTCAGCAGTCGCCTCAACCATTAAATCAAAATGATGGTTTTCTTTAAAGCTCCTTTTGGAGTCTTTTTAGTTTTCAGGGAGAGACTCTGTAATAATAATGTGCTTTTAGTTGCTTATTTTCTTTTCTTTTTTTTTTTTTTTTTTTCAGTTTTTGGCTGGCCCTGGGTTTGAACCCGCCACCTCCAGCATATGGGGCTGGCGCCCTTCTCCTTTGAGCCACAGTGCCACCCAGTTGCTTGTTTTCTTAATGAATTCTAGAAACTGCTAGATCCCTCCAAGCCATTGGTAACTTAGTGATTGCTACTTTATACATGGAGAAGCCAGTTTTTTTTTTTTTAAATGAGATAAGAATGGATTTTTAATATCACTTAGAACCTGATTCCATGCATGTACATAGCTGCCATGGGTCTTTTAAACTAATCTTGTAGTCTCTAAATATGGTACAGTGTGGCAGGAAGCAGCCCTGCCCCCTGTGAGCTGCGGAAGAGAAATGGACAACACGGAAAAAACATACTGGTGTCAGAAAAAAGGCAAACACTGAGACTGCCACGGCTAGGTTGTAAACTGAGGTGCCTTAAGACAGCGCCAGGGCAGCCCAGAGCCCAGCCGGGTGGCTTGGGCAACTGGGAGTTTGGCGTCTTCACATCTAGACTCTGGCTCCATTTCCCAGTTATTCTCCCCTGCTGCGCCTGCGGACTCTTGGTGGCAAAAAGTATAGTAGGACCCAAACTCCAGCCCATCAAATCTGGAGCTGAGAAGGAGCAGAGAATTACAGCAGGAACCTGCAACTTCTCACTTCACTAAGCAGAAACGTGCTCTTCCAAAGAATCTTCTGGGTGGACTCTGCCCTGAGTGGCCCCTGCACTGCGGCACACGCCCACACTGCCCCACACAGGGTCGCCCGCACCATCAGCAGGGCTGGATGGTTTTCCCGAGTGACCTTCTCTTCCCCCTCTCCCTTTTTCCTTTTTGCAGATGTCCTTAAAAGGCTACCGCAAGACTTGGAATAAAATGAAAACAACTAATGAGCAGTTCCAGGCAATCTGCCCCCCTGGTAAATAGCCAGAGGCATGTAAATAGCCAGGCATGGCTTGCAGATCAAGATGAGATCCATTAAAGTAATCAGCTCCTTTCTAGACAAGGGGTGCTCTTACTGTTCTCTGTGCTATCCCCAACTCCCCAGCCAGGCTGATCAGTCACCCCCCACATCTGCCACAGTCTGGCCCCTGAAACCATTAACCTTGAAAGAACCACAGGGCACTCTAATGGTTTGACACTTTTTAGCCCACATTTAGTTCACAAGCACAATAAAAGTGACCTTCCTGAAGTGGGAGTGGGACAGAGGAGGGAGAGCCAGCCCAGTGTGTGCTGTGGGGCCTATCTGTGGCAGCCCAGGTGTGTAACTATGAAAAACAGACACCAAAACAGCTTGGCGAATGGCTGGCACTCAGCCTTCTAAGCTTACTCTTCCGTTTGGTAGGTTAGCTCCTACAGTAGACACTGCTGCAAAAGAAAAGAAGCACAAAGGAGACCAAGATGATTTCTGGGGGCTGACGCACCCTGTTCTGACCCGCAGCAGACTTGCTGTCCACAATCTCCCCGCCATAGTAGTCGTAGTACATGGGCTGTATGGCTGCCTGAAACCTGCCTGATTCCCTTACATCCTTTAGCCTAAAGTCCTGACCATATCTAGATCTGTTTGCTTTGTGTGAATGCGTGTTGGACTTTCTTTGTCCTTGGAAGTGTGATGGGTAGCCCCATCTGAGGTAGCTCCGTCCAAACTGTGCACTGTTTGTCGTGGCTACGTATAACCTAGGGTTAGAGAGAGAGATCAGCTTCTCCCACGGGTGAAGTGAAGACACGGGAAGGCCAGCCCTCTTAGTCTTGTACATGATCCAGTCGCTGTAGTCTTCCACCTTGGTGTACACAAATAGGCCAGGGCATTTCTCACCACCGTAGGTCATGATTCCTTGCAGAACCCACAGACTCATCTTCTCTAGCTGGCACATCATTGGGCTTCCTGGTTCCCCCTGTGACAAAGGACAGAAGGCTTCAGGTCTTAGAAAAAGTCGTTTTCTTTTTTAATACATCTCGTTCCATTTACTGTTTGTTCTACAAATGTTTTACACTGGTTCTCACCAGAAATGGGGCAAATCATAGGATACCATCTGAAATCCAGACACCACAAATTCCAACAGGATGACTTTTCCTTGTATTATGCAAATTATTTGTGGACTTCTGCAGATTGCCTGTAGCTCCCTGATTCATATTGTACTTTGACTAAATCCTCACTCATCCTGGCTTCTCATTCCTAGAATGTTGGTATTTCTTTTCTTTTCTTTTTTTTTTTTTTCCCCAGCCTGAAATGCTCATGTGTCCCCTTCTCTCTACTTCACTTCCATTCTTGGTTTGAACCGCTTCCTCCGACCTGGCAGCTGCCTGCTCTCCCACCTGTTTGTTCCCTGGCCCTGCTGTGCTCTTAACCTTCCCACTCCGAGGACATACAAGGACGACAAAGTGAGATTTTGTGTCAAAAAAAAAAAAAATCTGTGATTTAGACATGCTTGTCCATGTTGTACTGACAGTATCCTGGTTAGTCCATCCAGCAGATTTTTATTGCGCACCTGCAATGTGCTCAGTGCTATTCAACTCAGACACAGCCACAGATCCCCAATTATAGTCCCTGCTCTCATGGGATTTCCCATCAAGTAAGGGGGAGTCCCAAGGTACTCCCAGACTTGAACAATTCTCACTCTCAACATTTAGCTTGTACCCCATGATGTTCTTACCAAGCAGACAGACTTAGTTTCCTCTTTTGTGTGAGTGCCACATCCTGTTCTCTGGAGTTTGTGTAAGGGACACACGTCAACGTCTTTCACGAAGACTTTCCTCAGGATACTCATCGTCATGTGATGTCCTGTCTGAACCATGCAACAGAGAGCCCAAGAGTTACTAACAAGAAAGGGGCCGCCTATGTCAATGCAGCTGCAACTCACACATCCAAATGGGAGTGGAAAATGTGTCTATAAATCTCTTTTCTTCATAGAAATAAGAATGTGTCTGAATTTTTACTCGAAACTACCTTTGCTTTGGACGTGAAAGTGTAGATAGGCAGGAAACACCCTTTCTCTTAGAGCATATTCACTTCTTTCTTTCTTCTTTTCCCAAGAATGAAAGAAAAGAAGGGTGTCTTAGACAAAAGGACAGTCAGCTCTACTTCTAGAAAGAATGTCCCCTTGCCTGCCCATGACCTGGTACTCATTTCAGCCTGTCTGCTGCCTCTGTACTCCCAGTTTTGATATAGAGCTAGATTAAAAATGACCAGTGAAATGTAAGAATGGCAACAGAAAGGGCAAGCACTTGGAATCTTGACTGATTAGGTGAGGGTTTCAGCCCAACTCTAAAACCTTGAGCAAGCTCAATGACTAAATTAAGATAATCCCTAAAATGGTTCATCCAAGTCGCCCCACTGCTAGCACACACACATCCTCCTGTAGGAGAAGGGATGCATTAACTGCAGACGTGGGGTTCCATCCTGACACCCAGCAGTTCCCCAAGGCTCGGTTCATATGCAGCTTTCTGCTAAGGAAGCAGATGGACTGGACCAGGTCGTTGAAATGCATCTTTGTGTCTGTCTTCAGGAGGGCTATGTTATTGTTCATGGTTTGGTTACTGAAGTCCTCATGGATGATGATGGTGTTGACTGGATACTCGGTGTGAGCAACCTTGCTGGGATCCATGTTATCTATACCAACTATGGCGACAATATCCTTCCTGGAGAGAGAACAAAGGAATCTTAAGAAGCCAACGCAGCAGGGAAGCCTTACGGTTCCCTGTTTTATTTACTGGTTATTGCTTTTTCCCCTCCCTAGCCTGGAATGCTCATCCAACTCATCTTCCCAGTGTTAATTTTTACTCACCCTTTTGGACCAAGTTTCCAGGAAGTCTTTTCTAAAACCCTAGACTTGTGCCTTCTTTTGTGAACCTGTAGAATCTTGGGGGTTTTTCTGTCTTAACACCATTTATCCCAGCACCCAAAGGGATCATCTGTTAACATGTTATTGCTGATTAACTTTCTCTCTGTGCATAGCTTTTTCTCTTTACATGGTTGTCATTTGCTAAATTAATAGTTGTAGTTATATCAAAGATATAATCTTGACTCTTGCTTTTAGCAATTAACATTTTAATACAAGCATCTTTCCCTATTATACACTCTGTAAATATACTTAGGAGAAATTCTGGCTTTAATAAGGATGGAGTTAAGTTGTGTGTTTTCCCGTTCTTCTCTTGGAAATAACCAAAGGAACTATGAGGATGAGAAACAAATGCAAACACCATAAAACCAAGCGATACTAAAGAATGCAAACCTCAGAATTAGAGGAAGGGCTGAGGAAAGTAGTGAAGCATAGTTGGAGTACAAAGAGTTATAGAGGATGACACCTACTGCCACAGAGCTCAGAAAAAGTAGTTAAGTCTCAGCAAATAAGTGAAAAGAAAAGAAACAAATCCATCACCCAAATGAAGGTTAAATTGAAGCAGCATTAAAGGAGAATGCTGTGTTTTCTGGGTCACAGAAAACACAGTTAGGGGTATTGAGAAAAGTGGCCAAAATGAAATGGAAACTAGCAAATATTTTTAAAAGCTCGAAAGGAAAATGACAGACATGACAGTCAAAGGACGGCCAGCAGATCAGAAAGAAACTAACCACAAGAATAAAATGGGGAAGAAATATTTCAAGATATAATTTAAGAAAATTTTCCAGACATGATACTTGAATCTACAATTTGGAGATACAAAATTATCAACACTGAGGCATATCTGACCAGGTCCCAACAGGAAACAGATGGAACATTCAAATAAGGTAAACTGGGGTGTTTAATGAAGGGACTGTTTACAGAAGGTCTTGGCAAGATTCAGGGAAATACTGCAGTACACTGGGTACTGCATGGTGTGGGCAGCTTCCTGCTGAGGTGCTGATATCACCTCTGGGTTCTAGGTGAGGGGTAGGAGTGGTCAGAGATGTACAGAGTGAGTCAGTTAGCTGGAAAAAGAAACCAACCTGCAGCAAGGGGAGTGAGGACCCATGTCCTCTCCTCTCTTATTAGTGCTCCCCTTGGCCAAACCCAGCTGGAACCCAGAAGACAGGAGGAGTCATTGGTGTAACCTGTACTGGTGCACCTCCTGGGGCCTGCCAGGTGGAAGAGTAGAGAGGGGATCCAGAGAGGCAAATGAGAGAGACTCAGCCTAGCTAGCAAAACTGAGCAACAAAGAAGGAATCCTTGAGCATCCAGACCAACAAAGAAGCTGCTTTAGTTAAATTTGGGCCTATTATCTTACCCAGGGAACTTGTGAGGGAGAAAGGAGGCGCATGCTGGGATAGGAGCTGTAAACCAGGCCTCTCCCAGGTATACGGGGATGTGAGAAAATCAGAATGGCCTTGTACTCTCCATAGCAAGATTTAATGCCACAAGCCAGGGTGGGAGAAAGTTTTAATATCAGAAGCCTGGGATGTCCATAAAGTCCTCTAAAGGAAAGAAGGGGCTGGGCGCAGTGGCTTACACCTATAATCCTAGCACTGTGGCAGGCCAAGGCTGGGGATTGCCTGACCTCATGGGTTGGAGACCAGCCTGAGCAAAAGTGAGACCTTGTCTCTAAAAATAGCTAGGTATTGTGGCAGGTGCCTGTAGTCCCAGCTACTTGGGAGGCTGAGGCAAGAAAATCACCTGAGCTTAAGTATTTGAGGTTTCTGTGAGCTTTGATGCCACAGCACTGTACAGAGGGAAACAGTAAGATTCTCCAAAAAAAGGAAAGAAGATGTGAACCATGAATTCTATACTGAAGTGATCATTCAGGAAAGCCTTTTAAGAATCTTTGAATACAAAGTTTAGCCAAACCTAATGTTGGAGAAAATCCAGCAAAAGGACTGACAGGAAGTGTGAAATTTATTATAGTATTGGACTAAAAAGAAAAACTTAAACAAGTTATAGATTGGTGTAAAGGTGTAAACCCTGGAAACAATCAAATAGATGGAAAGAAAAGTCAGAGGATGGAGCCTAAATGTTTATTTACAGCTAATATATGACGTGATAAGAGTAAGCAAGTTTATCAGTGAAATCATGAATAGAATATAGGATCTATTCAAATTGGGTGATACAAGAGAAGAAGGGGAAAAAGGAAAAAATAGGAATTCTGGTACTGGCCACAGTAGAGAGTCTACAGAGGATTATCTAGAAAGAAGCAGAGGATTTGGGTATCTTATATAAAGTATAACTCTAAGATGAAAACCAGAATGAAAACCCAAGCTTTCCAAGTTTGTCAGAAGAGACATATAAAACAAAAGAAATGTAATACAGCAAAAAGAAGAATAAGAAGCAATAAAAACAGAAAGCATAAACTAAGACAAAAACAAGACACAGGAACCACATTCTGAACATTAATTCAGGGAAGAAGAATGTCTTCTAGGCAAGACAAAGACTCTTAATGATGATAAAGTATCAGTCTATAGAGAAGAACTCTCAGTTATAAATACCTGCAAGTGACCCAGTATTCACAATGTGATAAGAAATAGAAGGAGAAATAAGCAGAAGGCTGTTCATGGTAGAAGATTTTAATTCACCTCTGTCTAGACCAAGTAGCCTTGCACCCCCAACTTTATGTATTAAATTATATACTAGCCGGGAATGGTGGTTCACGCCTATAACCTTAGCACTTTGGGAGTTTGAGGCAGGAGGATAGCTGAGGCCAGAAGTTTGAGACCAGCCTGAGTAACATAAAAAGATCCTGCCTGTGCCAAAAATAGAAAAATTAGCCAGGCATGGTGGTGCAAGCCTGTAGTTGTAGCTACTTGGGAGGCTAAAGCAGGATGATTACTTGAGCCCAGGAGTTCCAGGTCTAAGTGAGCTACGATGACTCCACTGTGCCCTAACCTGGGCAACAGAGCAAGACTGAAGAAAATGATAAAAATAAATAACTAAATAAATTATACACCCAGCACGGGTGATCTTTTTATTTTTCCTGTATAAAATATTCACATGAACCACACCTACTTCAGCCACAGGACAACCTCAGCAAATTTCTAAATAGATCACCATGTGGTATACCTCAAGGTTCGAAAACAAAACAAACAAAACCCCCTAACACCTGGACGTTTTAAAACTCTGTCTTTAAAAAAACCCCCTGAGTCAAAGAGAAAATCAAAACCGAAAGAGAAGACTCAGTAGAAAATAGACGTAATGAAAACACTGCCTAGAAACAGAATCTCCGTGGAGGGCTGGCTGGCCGTAGCGATCAGGATCATAAATGCTTGTCTTTTCTAGCCCAGTCTCTTCTCTCCTGGGTTATTCACACCATGACACACTCGCACACGTGTGAAATGATGAGTGTACAAGAGTATTTGCTGCCTTTTCTTGGTACTAGCAAAAGATTGGAAACAACCCAAATTTTCCTTAATAGAAAACTATGGGATACTACTGTGCAGCTCACAAAAAGAATACAGGAAGAAAAGTCTCCAAAGTTAGAGGGAAGAAAGCTAAGAATGAAATGTTTGTATGGTGTGCTGCTCCAGTTGAATTAGGGGGTGTTACGGACTGAATTGTGTTACCTCCCCCACCCAAAATTTGTAGGTTAAAACCCTAACCCCCAATGTAAGGGGGTTTTATTTAGAGACAGGTTCTTTTAGATGCAATTAAGGGTAAATGAAGTATGAGGATGTGGCTATAATCCAACAGGACTGGTGTTCTTATAAGAAGAAGAAGAGGTGCCAAGGATGAGCACGCAGAGAGAAAGGGTCATGTGAGGGCACGGTGGAAAGGGAGCCATCTGTGGGCCAAGGAGAGAGAGCTCAGGAGAAACCAAATCTGTCAACATCTTCATCTTAGACTTCCAGTCTCCAGAGCTACGAGAGTAAATTCCTATGGTCACTTCTAGCAGACTAACACAGAGTTTGGTACTAAGGATACTACTGTAGCAAATACGTAAAAATGCAGAAGTAGCTTTGAAGTGAAGCAATCGGTAGAGTTTTGAGGCACATGTTAGAAAAAGCCAGATTGCCTTAGAACACTTTATTGGAAACAGGAAGGAAAATAGTACGTGTTATAAAATGGCAAAGAACTTGGTCGAATTGTGTTCTAGTGTTTTGTGGGAAAGAAGGCATTATAAAAGTGAACTTGGATATTTAGCGGAGATTCCTAAGCAAAGTGTTGGAAAGTGCAGACTGGTTTCTCTTTACTGCTTATCGTAAAATGTGAGAAGAGAGATTTGAATTGAAGAAGGAAACACAAAAGAACCAGAACTTGAAGAAACTTCTCAGATTGTCCATATTGCAAACAATGAGAAAGCAGGTTTTGCAGAGAGCACTAAGGGTGTGGTTGCACTTTGACTTGGTAAAGAGATTATGGGATTATATACCACAGAAACACTACCAATTTGGACCAAAGGAGACAAAAACAGGACAATAAGGAAGGTGCTATACTTCTTGGATTCTACAGAATGGAAAAATACAGCAAATAGGTATTATCCTTTAAGAAAAGGGAAACATGATCCCGCCGGTGATTCAGAGACAGGTAGGGGTACCATCCTGGCCACAGGCCCAGCGTGCACAGGTCTGGAGGATAAGGCTGTCTGCTCCTTAGATTCAGTGGACCAGTTTAACCCAGCCCACTGCCTCAAGAGCAAGGTCCCCACCCAGAGCTTTAGAGCAGTGGCCACTGTCCAGGGGTGATGGGGGCAATGCTGCCACCCTAGCAGCCCTACAAGACAGGACTGTTACCCCAGTGGGCCCAGAGGATAGGACATCAATCCTAAAAAGATTATTATTGAGCCTCAAAATCTAATGGAATTTGCCTTGCTAGACTTTAGACTTGCTTGGAAGCTGTCATCGGTCTTCTTTCCAGTTTCTCATCTTTGGAATGAGGATCTCTACCTTATGCCTGTCTCACCATTAGAGTTTTGAAGGACATAACTTGTCTGGCTTCACAGATCTCACAGATAGACAGGAATTTTGCCTGAAAATGAATCATACCTTGGGTCTCACCAATACCTAATTTAGTTGATATCTAGATGAGATTTGGGACATGGAATTGATGCTGGAATGGGTTAAGACTTTTGGGGATATTGGGATGGGATGGGTGTATTCCATATGTCAGAAGGACGTGAATTTGGGGGAGTCTGAGGACAGAATGCTGTGGACTGAACTGTGTCCCTCCAAATTCAGAGGTGGAAGCCTTAACTTTCAATGTGCCCATATTTGGATTTAGGGCCTTTATCTCCATATTTGGAGATAGAGGTAGTTATGGTCAATGGAGTCCTAAGGGCAAGGCCCTTCTCCAGTGGGACACCCACCCAGAGAAAAGGCCAGGTGAGAACACAGCAAGAGGGTAGCTTTCTGCAGGCCGAAGAGAGGCCACAGGAGACACCAAGCCTGCTGACAACTTGATCTTGGACTTTTAACCTCCAGAATTGTGAGATATACATTTCTGTTGCTTAAGTCACCCAGTCTGAGCTAATACAGAATGAAAGAAAGTTCTCTGTTAATAGAGAAAATAATCCACATAGCTGTATCTGTAGGCATAGAGATATACATAAACACATCGAGCATTTGAGGAGAAATATCCAAGAAATTGGTGACAGAATGTGGCTCAAGGAAGGGAAACTGGGGCTAGACGGGTGGGGAAGGAACAAGCTGATTGGCACTCTACATCCTTTGGTTCCTTCTGAACGTTTTACTATGCACTACATGTATGCGTACGTGGACACAAGCAGCACACACAAAATACATTATGTAAAATCATAAACTTACACCTGCATGTAAGACACATGTATGTGTTACACGTATTTTCAATTACATAAAAATCATATGTTAAAATATTCATCAGCCGCACTATATTCCATAAAGGGTTTATATTATGATCTATTTAGCCAAATATGGTAATTATACACTCTCCACCATACTCTGTGTACGTGTGTATTTATAAATAATTTACATTAGTAATTATTATTACATGCCATATATTATATATAAGGTATATATGAAAATTATACGGTCACTAATTGAGCTGTGATAATTGGATATTAGGTTTCTTTCCAGTGTTTTTTTTTTTTTTTTTTTTTTAGACAGAGCCTCAAGCTGTCCCCCTGGGTAGAGTGCCGTGGCATTACAGCTCACAGCAACCTCCAACTCCTGGGCTCAAGCAAGTCTCCTGCCTCCGCCTCCCAAGTAGCTGGGACTACAGGCGCCCGCCACAACGCCCGGCTATTTTTTGGTTGCAGCCGTCATTGTTGTTTGGCGGGTCCGGGCTGGGGATTCGAACCCGCCACCTTAGGTGTACGTGGCTGGCGCCTTAGCCGGTTGAGCTATAGGCGCCGAGCCTCTTTCCAGTGTTTTATGTGTGATTTACCATCAAAGGAACTGCTTTATGCATAAAATTTTTCCAGTGGCTGAAATTATTTCCTTAGTGTTGATTCCCCAAAGTGAAATCACTGGGTCAAAAAGGGAGATAGTTTACAAATATTTACCAAAAAAATTTTTTTACCATATTTACAAAAACGTTTTACAAATATTTACTAAATGTTATTCCTTTAATAACATTTATGTTTTTTTCTGGTTTAAAGAATGCAGAATTTGTATTGTGCAGAATTTAGAGAATGTGGAGAAGTTCAAAGAAGAAAATAAAAATCATGTGTTCTGATAAGCACTCTTTGGACAATTTCTGCATTTTCTTGAAGGATTTTCCCTGTGTGTATATACACGTATTTGTGGCAATAACATTTGCAAGGCCTGAGGTAAGTATTTTCAGGTAAGGACTCTTTCCTTTTTTTTGAGACAGAGTCTCATTCTGTCGCTTTTGGTAGAGTGCCATGGTGTCATAGCTCACAGCAACCTCAAACTCTTGGGGTCAAGAGACCTCTTGCCTCAGCCTCCCTAATAGCTGGGATTACAGGCACCTGCCACAATGCTTGGCTATTTATAGAGACGAAGTCTTGTTCTTGCTCAGGATGATCCCAAACTCCTGGTCTCAGGCAATCCATCAGCCTCGGCCTCCCAGAATGCTAGGATTACAGGTATGAGGCACCATGCCAGGCCTGGGTAAGGACTCTTATTGACTGGCTTAACAGGGTAAGCCATAGAGACCCTCATATATGGGTCACTGCGAAAGTTTTGAGACAGACTTTGTTATGGTCCATTATTTCACTTCCAAGAAACATAGTCAACAGCATCCTTTCTGATTCACCCACGCAAGTTTCACCTTGCCCGGCTTATAGGTGTTGCTGGGAGGGCTTCATTTATTTCCATCCGTGCAGATTTTACATTTCTTGATTTTTGTGTATCTCAAAACTTTCATAAGGACCCGTGTTAAGAGTCCGTGACTCTGTAATGGCAGTGAAATAAGAATGCATATCCTTCCTGTATAAAATGGAGGAAGAATTATTTCACTCTTCTGTTGTGAGGCCCACAGCCCTCACAGTGGAGAACAGCCTTGGTATCTGGTGACTTTAGGGCCCCAAGGCTCACGGCAGAGCATGGGCTGAGCTGCCCCAGGAAGGGCAGGAGACAGAGCCACCCCCACCCACCCCAGCAGTGGCAGAAGTCCCCAGTGCAGGGGTACTGGCCTGTTCTGAAGGGCAGATGCGATGCTGAGGATCCAGAACTCACTGAGGATGCAGCCGAAAGCCAGGTGGGTGTACTGGGAATCCTGCAGTGACACTACCCAGGGGAACTCCATTCTGCTGACCAAGCTCTCCTGAAGACCGGAGTCATCCAAAATGGAAACTCTCTGTATGCCACAACCTGCAGAGGGGTGCAGGACCTCACTGCTGGGCAAGGAGCTGGTCTCCTGGGGCACCACCATCCAGCCAGGCCTCAGGATCTCTCCCCAGACGGCTGTCCACCATTCTCCTCACTACCTCTATCACCCTATTTCTTTTTTTTCCTAGTGGGTCTTCTTCCCCATAAAAGATGTTGGGTGGCATCTGTGAACCTCAAAATCACATTAAACTACTGAAAATAACTTTCATCTATTGATCACTTTCATCACTTGGAAGTATCTGCAAACTTTTAGATATATTGGCAGTTCTCAAAGTGTTTGGGGGGTCTGTGGGAGTCCTTAAGTCCTGTGGGTTCAGGATTAAAACTGTTTTCATAAGAATACAAAAACATTGTTTGCATTTTCACTCTCATTCTCTCACTCCTATACTGTGAAATTTTCTAGAGGCTGTGAAATGTCATCACCCTGATGGCTTAATAGTATGTATAAACTTGTATATTCCTGTGTTTTAAAATTTTCCAGTTTTAATTTCTAATACAGCAAATATGCAAAGATCAGCCTTGTAAGCCTTAAAAAAAAAAAAAAAGACTCTCTTGAGGTTCTCAATACTTTTTTAAAAAGTGTAAAGGTGTCCTGAGGCCAAAAACTTGGGAACTGCTGATGTACACGTCATACAATTCCCCCAGCAGCCCTAAGAGGTGGTGACATTCCCAGTTTGTCAATGAGAAAACTGAGTATTAGAACCAGTGAGCACTTGCTGGAGTCACACCATTGGTGGGATATAGGGCCGGGTGAGTCCAGACTCTGTCCTTCCAACCTCACCCAGTCTAGGTTCCATCCACATTCCACATCCTCAGATTTGCCCTTCTCTTCCCTGCAGGCTGTTGACATGGATCCCTCTTCCTGGTGTGTCTGCTTTGCTTGCCAGTGGATCCCTAGGTGTTGGCACTGTGCCTGGCACGTAGTAAGTGCTTAATAAATCATCTGGTGCATGAACAAAAGAGATACGACAACTAAACACTCCCTGACTTCTTGTTAGAGGGCTAGAAGGTCCTGGCACGGGGAGGGGAGACTATCTCTGACCCACCCTGAGCAGGCCTGCTCAGCCTTGGCCTTCCCACACCCTAGAGTGGGCCACTTCTACCTTCTCTGGAAACCTGGACTTGTTTGTTTCCACTGAGAGTTAAGTATTAATGCTTAACACATTAACTGCCATGTGAGTTGTATTTAACTTACGCTAGTTTTGAGCCTGGGGCCTTTTGAAGCAGTGTGTGTGTGTGTGTGTGTGTATCACATGTCTGTTGGGGAGCTGAGAGGTGCACGGGCAACTCATGCTGCCATGCTGTGGCACACATGTCACATGATGAGCTGTAATAAAATACCATGGCCTCATGGCAATTTTTTTTTCTAGTGTGGCAATCAATGTGTTCGTAGGCTCCTCCTGCCAGCCCCAGGGCCCAGAACAGCTATATTGCTCTGTATTAAAGTGTCAGGATCCTAGAACAGGAAGGACCTTGCAACTCATCTAGTCAGAGGCAGGAACTGGCTTCTTTAAAGCCCCAGTTGGATGGGCCGTGTCTCCTGCTTTCGCGGCACCATTGTGGAATGCATCCACACCGGCCATTTTCCTCTTCCCGACTGCTGACTCCCTCTGCTGCACTTGTCCTCCCTCCAGAGTCCATTCGCCCTGTTCTGGTGAGTCCATGTCCACAGGACTAGTGCCCTCCTTACTGGGTCTGGGGGTGCCCATCTCAGCCTCCCGTAGCAGGGCGGAGAACAGGCAGATTCTCAACCCTGACTGCATGTTTCATGGGCCAGAACCCCTGGCAACTGCATTTTGTAAAAAAAGCTCCCCAGGGGAGATTCTCAGGTGTATTTGGGAAGGACCTTGATGCAGAGTCCAAAATCACATTGGTCCCTTGGTCTGCTGTGAGACCTTTGTCAGCTGCTTCACTTTTCTGAACTTCAGCTTCCTCTTTTGAAATGTGGGGCAGTCATCCTGGGCCTGCACACCTTTTAGGGTTGTGGTGAGGTTATGGGACAGCTATCCCCATGACTGACAATGCTAAGCCGAGGGCTGAAGAGATGATTCCATTTTTTAAAACTGTAAACCACTGCTCTGGTTGCTGTCTGTACATCCCAAACCTCAAACACCCAGAGCTGGCTTCTACAGCAGTGGTGCTGGGTCATGGGTGTCACCAGTGGATTGTATGGATCAGGCCACTGGTGACTGCTGCTTCAGCCACTCACCCAGACACACCCAGCCCTGCCAGGTGCTGAGCTGGGGCCTGGACTTCTAGGGATGGATTTCAGGAGTCTATCACAGTGACATGCTAAAGTGGTGGCCATACAGAGAGACAAGTGACATAAGGGAATATGCTCAGAGTGTACAGAAAGGGAAGCATGAACTCTGCCCAGGGCGTGAAGTCTGGGAGAACTTCCCTAGGATGTAAGCACCAAAGACAGAGTTTCTGAACCATGATACTAGAGCTGACTATAACACACATCAATCACATAAAGGACCTCTCCATGTGGGACATTGTATGAGTAAATGTCTCCTTTAATTGACAGTTGGAGACTTTACTGGAACAATGACAGCAGGTTGATAGCAAGATGTGTCTATATGGCCACAAAGTGCTTCAGAACCACCAAAGACAGGAATTCTTCAGTCTAATTCTTTCTTGGGACACTGACAATTTGTGGCACAAGGCATTAACCAGTTCTTCCTAACCCAACAGGCACCTACAGGCATATGATTCCTTTTACTTTTTATAAGCTCTGGTTGGCCAGCTCATTTGACCTTCCAGAACCCTTGGAAATCTAACCCAGGGATGAAATGTGTGCTCTGGGTCACTTAGTTGTGACTTTCTAAAGGTGATGCCTTTAGACTCGGCACCCATAGTACAGTGGTTACGGTGCCAGCCACATACACTGAGGGTGGCAGGTTCGACCCCGGTCTGGACCTGCTAAACAATGACAACTGCAACAAAAAAATGGCTGGGCGTTGCAGTGGGTGCCTATAATCCCTACTATTTGGGAGGCGGAGGCAAGAGAATCACTTGAGCCCAGGAGTTTGAAGTTGCTGTGAGCTGTGACGCTATGACACTCTACTGAGGGTAACATAGTGAGACTCTGTCTCAAAAAAATAAATAAATAAAGGTGACACCTTTCTATATTTTCTGGCATGGCCAAAGCTGAGCAGGCCTGGGTGGGCCCTGGTCTCCTTGTGACTGCGAAGAGGTAGAGGAGGCTAAGGAAGGTGGAGGAGTCCCCTCTTCACGTGTGTGTGGCGGGGGAGGCTTCCTCATGTCTCCCATCTAACTCCAGGAAGACGGGGCAGAGCCAGCTGGGATGGCAGCAAGGTGGGAGAACGCCTGCCTTAGTCAGGTGTCCCCTCTTCACCTGCTCCTTTCTAGGCTGGAACTCTTAGTCCTAAACAGCCTAGAAGTCAGGAGAAGTGGGGACCACAGATGCCACTTCTGCTGTCTGAACTTCTGGTAGTCTCCAAGGCAGAGACAGCATTATGCGCAGAAGCCCCCACTGCTCCTGAGAGCAGCCCTGCAGTTAGAGGTCACAGTTTGTAGAAGAGCAGCACACCCCAAAGGGCAGGGCAGGGCTGGGCTATGAGTGGAGAGGCAGGCCTCTGCTGTCCCCTCTGCCCAGAGGGCCTGACAGCCGTGACTTAGGGCACTCCGCCTCGGGCGTAGCCCTGACGTCAGTTTCCTCCATCCATATCCCATGTTTCACTTCTTTGCCTGGTTCCTGTCGCCAGCACATGCTTCCCAGAGCAAGTGCTGTGAGTCATCGTCCCTGAGCCACTCCCTGCACATCAGGGACCACTTCATCTCCCCAGATGGTCCCCCTTGCATCTAGGAGCAGCTAGAGTCAGACAGAGGGAGTAGCACACTCACTGTCGGCAAGCGCAGAGCGGAAAGCGCAGAGCAGGACCAAGAGCCTCGCTTGCGTCTCCGCCATCCCGAGAGGGCCGCCACAGACACCATGGGCAGCTGGAAAAGCAAAACACTGTCTCGGTCCCCTTCCCAGACCCATGCGGGGCTTTCCCTTTCCTCCCCAATGGGTCGAGCCCCCCACCCCAGCATTGGAGACTTTCCAGCTTTCCTTTCCACCAACAAAGGCTCCCCGAGGCAGGGTACTGACCTGTCACATCCTTTGGGCTTGGTCCGGTGCGGTCAAGAGGCAGGGCCCGCTGTCCCACACGGATACTCAGCTATAGTGTGCACGATGGCCCAGGGAGAGAAGGCAGCTCACGCTGGTCACTTTTCCTCTCAGTCTGGCCCAGGCCCCTGGGAATCCTGGAGAGTGGGGTCTCCTAAAAGGGTTGCTTTTTGACTTGTGGAATTCAACCCTTGCCTTATCTCTGTAGCCATAAAATGCTGCTGAAAGAAAAGGTGGGGTTTTAGCAGAAGCCACCCTGGGCTTAATGTCTATGCTGTGGTTTTACCTCTCCTACTAAACTCTGCTGGTGGAGGTCATGCTGGGGCTCCTTCTAGCTAGTTATCAGCCTGTGCGTTTGTATAGTAATTGTCCTGGAATGTAGTGCAGCTCATTTGCACACCCCCCCCCCCAGGTCGATGCTCTCCCTGCCCCCACTCGACAGATTCAGAAACTGACACTTAGAGATATGGAGTAGCTGGTCCGAGGTCACACAGCTACCAAGTCGTGGAACTGGGATTTGAGCTCAGGTCGGTGTGGATTCAAAGCGCCGGACTGTTTCACCACACACTACATCACCAGGCCCACACCTTTGCCTCAAACAATGCACAGAAGGCTAAGGAACATGTGCACGGTTGCAAGTCACCACGTTCCACTCATGACACCGGATGTTTCTTGTCCTCGAGATGGTTCTCAGAGTTCTTCTATGAAGTGCTCCCACTAAAGGAGAAACGAATTCACTCTGGCCTTAACACAGCAGAGCTCAACAGAGGGATTTCCTCCACCGCCTTGGAAAGAATGTTCCATTGTGGCATCATAGTTACCATGGCGTCACCAAGTAAATGTCTGGACATGGGGACTTAGGAGGAGCTAGAATGAAAAGCCTCCTTGTTACCTAAGGTTGGCAGGGCTATTCTGGAAGCCTGTCTCTCTGCAGGTCTGGCGGAGCTGACATCTTTTTGCTAGATCACAAATTCCTCTCTGGTTGCGGCCATGGTCTATCAGTTCTATGCAGCACCGGCCCTGTGTCCACAGGAATTTGTCTGGTTGGACTGGGGAAGCCCACAACTACGGTGGATTTGGGAGTTCCAGTCCTTGTCAGCATCTTACAGTCCCAGGGTTGTTTCTTTCAGGCTCAGCCCAGTTTTCTTTTGCCCCTCCGCTGTGGATCTCAGCTAAGCTACCATTACGGCCTCTGCCAAACCGTGGGGGCCAGATGGGATCTGCGCTCCAGACACTGCGAGCAGCTCTGGTTTCAGCACAAATGCCAGGACTGGAGAGAACTATTGACAGTGCTGTGGTAAGATGAGTCCGCGTAGCCACAGAGGGAGGGCTCAGCCTCTCAACCGATGGGAGCAGACGGGTGTGTGACTGGATGATGGAAGGCAGTTGGATTGGACAGAAGTGAAGTCTCCTTCCCCCCTATGTCCTGCCTACCTAACAATCCCCCATCACCTTTGACCCAGTGTAGCGGTTGCCTTCTGCTGTCAGAACAGAATGGGAATGATTTCTGGCAATGGGAGAAGCAGGAAGGGAATCTTACATTTGTCCCATGTTGTGGGTCTCAAAGAGCCTTCTTTCATGCACGTTTTCTTATTCACCATCCACATTCACCCTGGCAGGATGAAGGAATTTCCTGTCCTTTTTAGGTGAGAATATAGTGGCTCACTTGCCCAGAGTGACAAAGCTAGGAAGTGCTAGGGATAGGACTTCGACACACGTCCTTCCAGTGCCAGGTTGTGAGTGGCTACCTCCTTCCCACACAGTCCTCACTTCTCAGCCAGGGCCACATACTGTCTTTAGAAGGGACAGAAGCAGAAACAGGGCTCCCGGCAAAGCCAGGGCTGCTCATAAACCTGGCGGTCTGAGGTTAGCACACAAGACCCTGGCCCGCTCCAGGTTCCTCTTCAAATTTCCACATGAATAGAAGCCACGCGCAGACCTCAAAGTGTTCTGTCTCCCATCAGGAATGATCCGGCATTTCCCACAGTAAGGAAAGCACAGGCTCCTGCAGGGGCCCAGCAGATCTTGTGAACAGCGAGCTTCAAATTCTCAGCCTCTCTGGACTATCAGCTTTATATAAAATTTAAAAATATCCCCACAATTTAAAAATAATGATTTGATTCTTTAAGGTCAATAACAGCGTCATAGGTGCAGGCCTTTGGGAGGACGGTCACTTGCGATCTTACACCAATCACTCCATATCCAGCATAGTGACAGCATGAAAGGGATGGGGTTTCACAACCTGTCGCTTTCAATTTTGACTCTTTGTTTTCATTAAGTAAGAAAATCCTAATTCTCAATAAAAAGATATCTGAAATCACAGCACATTATGGAGGCTCTATCAGATAATTCTGGATTTTCAGGTTGAACACGAACTGCCAAATCACGGAGAGATTTTTTTTCACTGATGACTGCTCTTAGGACTCCCATCACATTCAAAACCCAGAGGACTGAAAATTTCTTCTAAGAAATTGACTGTTTCCTCTTGGGAAAGAGTTCTTCATGTTCTGTTGCAGTTTTGGAAAGTCATTTCTAATTATGCCAATAGTAACTTTATGACATTCAAAATCTCCTCTCTTCTGCAACGAACATAACAAAAACTAATCAACTACTTCTCCATTAATGCATCAGACATTTTCTAAGTGTCGCTTCCTCACTGGTTTGTCAAATTGTTAGGCAAAATATCTGCGAGCCCAAATAAATCATAATTATCACTCCACTGCGTGGTATGCCTTCGCTACGGATGTAACAGCCTACAGAGTCTTCGGAGCAGAACTTCTTCAATGGCTCATGCCGCCTTCTCTTCCTGTCATTTTTCGTTAATGTTGACATTCATTTAAAGCTCCCAGACATGATATGACGTGTCCTATGAGAAGCACAACTTTGAGTCAGGTTTTTGCCTATAGATATCTTCTCTGCTAGGAAGGAAGGAAGGAAGGAAGGAAGGGGAGGGGAGGGGAGGGAAAGAATTTCTTGAAAAGCATTATAGCATTATAATGCCCTAATTATGGAAAAACTGTATAATTTATTTACCAAAGAAGACACTGTGCTTATTTGCAAATGACAAAAAAAAAAAAATTGCTTTAATGGTTTCACATCATCATCTGCCAGTTTTATTTTCAGAGATCTGTGTTGGAAATAAAATAGATTGCCCATAGCTTGTTTTTCTCTTCCTAAAAGTGTTTAAAAACAGGACGTATAACATATTTTTAACTCCTAAAGGAAGAGCTTGTGGGCAAGAGTTTTCAGATTTTTAAATCAAAACAGAATGTATTGTATTAGTCACTGCTCAAATTACTGAATCAACAATCTCTGAGATTGCCTGATAATGAATGTTTGTACTACATGCAGCTGTGTCTATTGATGTAAATTTTAGTCCAATGAAAGCTTTAATGTAAATTAAAATCCAATAAAAACTTTAGATGTTAAGTTTAATTTAATGTAAAAGGAACACCTGAATTTTTTTTAATATCATTAAACACACCATACAAGAACATTACCAATATCTTGTGCCTACCTACAAGGTCCAGCCTGTCATTTTTTTGCTTCCAGAGAGGAAATGTGTTTCTCATTCCTTAGCCATTTGTTTGATAAGTTCATCCATATGGATATATGCCTAAACTCTATAGTATAGCCCATGTGCCTTCTCAAGGGTGTACCTAGGAAGGAATTGCTAGGTGAGAGGTCACGTTGGGACATGCTTGACTTTACAAGATAATGCTCAATCATTTTCTTTTCTTTTCTTTTTTTTTTTTTTTTTATGAGACAGAACCTCAAGCTGTTCCCTTGGGTAGAGTGCTGTGACATCACAGCTCACAGCAACCTCCAACTCCTGGGCTCAAGCGAGTCTCCTGCCTCAGCCTCCCAAGTAGCTGGGGCCACAGGTGCCCACCACAATGCCAGGCTATTTTTTGGTTGCAGCCATGATTGTTGTTTGGCGGGCCTGGGCTGGATTCGAACCCGCCACCTTAGGTGTATGTGGCTGGCGCCTTAGCCACTTGAGCCGCAGGTGCCAAGCCACCTCAGTCGTTTTCTAAGGTGATTGTTCTGGTGGACACTGATACCAGCAATGTCTGTGGGCCTTTGTTGATATTTGTCCCCTCCAACACTTCTTACTATCAGCCTTAACTTTTTGCCAATCAAAGGAGTATAAAATGATATCTTGCTAATTTGCATTCTCCCAGTTATTAATAAGTTGAGGATATTTTCCCACGTGTTTAATGGCTGTACAAGTTAATGTTTGTGTCTTTTGCTCTTTTTTCTGTTGGGTTTCTTGCCTTTTCCTTATTGATATGTAGGAATACTTAATATTTGTGAATATTGGTCACGATGTATATTGTGAATATCTTCTGAATATCTTCCAATTTGTCCTGTGCTTTCTGTCCTGTGATGTTTTTGAATAAGTAGAGGTCTTGTACAGTTCTTTGCATCTGGTTTAAGAAATGTTTTCTTGGCTCTCTGGTCCTGTCGTTTGACAGACAGTCGCATCTTCTCAAGCAGCGCCAGCCGCATCCCTGAGACACCAGGGTGAAAGTGAAGGCTGGAATAGACAGCTTTGGCCATATTGGGTGCCTGGTCACCAGGGCTGCTTTTAATTCTGGCAAAGTGGATATTGTCACCATCACTGACCCCTTCATTCCCTCAACTTCATGGCCTACATGTTCCAGTATGATTCCACCCATAGCAAGTTCCAAGGCACAGTCAAGGTAGCGAACGGGAAGCTTGTCATCAAAGGACATCTAATAACCATCTTCCAGGAGCCAGATCCCAGTAAAATCAAATGGGGCAAGGCAGGCACT